TAAGTAGAACAGACTGAAGTGTCTCAGAAATTTTGTGAATAAAATCACCCTTACTTCCAGGAAAATATATTTTTGGATTCAAAACCAAGCAAGGGTTATGGCTACTGACAAGGCTCAGTTATAACAGATATTATACCATGTCCTTGTTAAACCTAAGTCTCATCAGCACCTGTAATTTTTTAACAAAGACCAAAATGTTGAAATGTAAATAAAATTAATTTCTGAAGGTAAAGGGTTCTTTCATTCACAAAACTGTTCTATATGTTTTTTTTTTTTAACTTTGGCTAACAATCTCATGATTATCACAGTGCAAATGTGTTCATTAGAATCAGAAGTTTTAAAAGGTAAACTTTTAAAAATATGTGTATGTGGTATTCACAGCCACTGCATCTGACAGATAACTTCTGAAGGAACCACCAGATGCAGATTCTGAAATGTCATGCACAAAATAAATTTAATACAAACAGCAAAGGAAAGAAACAAACACAAGTGAACAAAAAACAAAATCTTTATTCACAGTGAAAAATGTGGCATTAAGCATTTCATTTACTGAAAGCCCTGTAATTCTGTTGTGACTTTAGTGGGCTGATACATACTTGTCACAGGACAAAGATAAAGGAATTCCAATTTACCACCAAAATTCAGATAAGTGAAGTGTACCAGATTACAGTACTTCACTGACGGTTCCAAATAAAGTTTCTAGGGGAGAAAAAAATAACCTAATTCATTCCAAATTCTACAAGTGTCTGAGTCACCTCTTCAGGTTGGCTTACCTCTCCCAGTGGATTCAGACACAGGACAAAATGATACGAGTTTTAAGTCACTGACATATGCAAGCTTCACCAAAGTAAAAGGATTAGCAGAAGTATACAATCTTTTCTACATCTGTTTATCATGAATTTCATTCTGCAAGCAGAAAACCTGCACAAAAATGTTGACCAATTTTATCTATAGATCTGAATAAATATATATTCTAAATTAGTCATGGAAGGGTGAAATTAATGTATTTCAGTCATTATATGTAACACCATGCCTACCATTTTATTCATGACTGATAGGTTATTTGATTCAAAGTCATTACCTGTTACCCAGGTCAATTATAGAATGTTAAATATATCTAGTGGTATATTTTTTACTTAAAGGGATGTTAACATCTTAAAAAATAAATCATGTATTTTAAATGCTACAACATTTCAAAAATGAACAGTAAGTTCATCAAAAGTAAGGTATCAATAGGCCATAAAATTGACAAGTATCTCTTTAATTTATCACAGTTAACATAAATTTTAATAAGAATTATTATAAATCTGCAAAAAACAACATTTAAAACATTTATTGTTCACAAATATCATTAGTCTTTTTAGAATATACTAAAGAATAATTATTTCTAAGAAGACAGTGCACTTTAGATAAAGTTCATGACTTTAAAGTCACAAAAACAAGCTTACTTAAGTAATTAAATAATGAAGAAATTTTTCAAAGACCCCTCCTTTCTCCAATATTTGATGCTCACCTATCTAATGGGCCCTCAAAAATACTTAAAACTACATGGGATCATTTCAAAACGCATTCCATAATACCTTTCACAGCCTTGTGCCTATGGCTTTAAAATAAAGATGTTTAATTTTATAAACATAGGTATTTTCACCAGAAATATTTAAGTACCCTATGGTTATTAATTAATGTAACATTGTCTATAAATGTACTTATTTCTGAATGCTTAGAAAGTACCACTAACATACTTAAACTTGCTGATCAATAAAGAAATGAGCATATTAAGGTGGGGGCTATAGCCCCAGGCTTGGGCTCAAAAAAAGGTTCCTACTGAGTTTAGATGTTTACCCTAGTCTTAGGGTTAGGACTGTCTGACCCTTAATCCATCCACGAATAAAAACTGTCACTGAATAGAACATATGGAAACACTGATCACAATGGTGTATTTAAGTGTTTTACACTCACTACTATAAAGGCTTGATTTGGTCTGAAGCTTCATTCGGTGGTAGTGTCTTGGGTCACTGATGAAGAGTGGAATTCTCCAAACTAGTCTGGCCCACAGACACCCCCCCCTCAATGAAAGAATAGACCATTCCAAGCTTTTACTTGTTGTTAAACAAATGTTTAAACACCTCTATTCCAATATGGAAACACTGTTTACTTGGTGTGCAGTTGCCACTAACAGAAAATGCAAAGTAAAAAGTTATTTTGTGATGAAATAAAGTTTTTCATGATCGCAGAGAATTTGTTTTTTAATATAATTATCATCACTTAATAGAAGTTTACATCAATTAAACAATAGGTCCAAATGTTTTACTTTTTGAAGCTTATGCTGTTATTTTTTACTGAACCTTTAATATAAGTATAGTGTTTATTAACAGATTAATTCAATACATCTTCCAGTTTAATTATTATTTTATTGCAGCAGGCTCATAGCTACAAAATTTACCAAACCATTATTCTAAACATATTTCTAATTACAAAGACCGTGTACTTCTATCAAGACAATCAAATCCTAAAAGACTACCTTTCAGAAAATTCACAGCCACCAGTGTATTAAAAGCAAACGAGCAGATGTAATAACATTCATTAGTACATTAGTTTATATATATTAAACATGAAAAACTTGATATTAAAAACTTTAACATTGGTCACCATCTAATTACAGGTAAAATCTCTGGATAGGCAATTATTAGAAAGATATTATTTATAATACAAAAAGCATCAATCGTTATTGTTCTTTACTTGTATCGGTTTAAATTATTAAAATTTTCAGTTAGCAATAGAAGTACCATGTGGAATATAATAAGATGAGTTCAACATTAGCTACTAAGGTAAGACAGATTAGCACTGTGATTATTTCCTGTCTATCTGATGAGTTGAATTGGCAGTATATACTTGGATTTCTGCCAAAAAATTATGTCTTGCACAGACAGAATAGAATGAAAAACATTACTGATCTTTCCTTCACAGACAGTTACACAAAGAGTAAAATCAAATTAATAAACATATATTTATATTATTTATTTGTCAACACTACAATACAAGCAATGCCTATTTGGCTGATAATGGCAGGACACTGTCTAAATGCTTATGAGAAGAGACAAGACTAAAATTTGGAAATTTCTATTTATCTAGAGTGTCACAGTAAAATATCCATGACCCAAGATACTTAAAACACATCGTTTTATAATTTGAAAATACACGATGACAGAGAAAAGCAAGTATTTTTTAGTTTACCGTGAGATAGTTCATACAGTATTTATTCCACAGTTCTATACATCATATGCTATTCACGTTCTCAAACTTAAGTTTTAAGATTAAGTTCTAGTAAAATTAATTTATTTTCAACAATATCTGCAGCTTAAAGCTTATATAACAAGTTGTTAAAAAAAAGATAGATCAATGCTTTACTGTAGCATCAGTGATTACTGAGCAAACAAGACTAGAGATACTTATAATACTGCACCTAACAACTCAGTCTTCTCTTGAGCAATTTTTGTAAAAACGAAATTTCAAACACCAATATGAAGGAACTTTGAAGTTTCTGAAGCTGAGCCACATGTATGTCAGATTAATCAAGAAGTTCACTGAGTCACACGCATGTTAGATTAATCAAGAAGTTCACTGAGTCACACGCATGTTAGATTAATCAACAAGTTCACTGAGACACACGCGTGTCAGATTAATCAACAAGTTCACTGAGTCACACGCATGTCAAATTAATCAACAAGTTCACTGAGTCACACGCGTGTCAAATTAATCAACAAGTTCACTGAGTCACACACGTCAGATTATTCAACAAGGTCACTGAGACACACGCATGTCAGATTAATCAACAAGTTCACTGAGTCACACGCGTGTCAAATTAATCAACAAGTTCACTGAGTCACACACGTCAGATTATTCAACAAGGTCACTGAGACACACGCGTGTCAAATTAATCAACAAGTTCACTGAGTCACACGCGTGTCAAATTAATCAACAAGTTCACTGAGTCACACGCGTGTCAAATTAATCAACAAGTTCACTGAGTCACACGCGTGTCAAATTAATCAACAAGTTCACTGAGTCACACGCGTGTCAAATTAATCAACAAGTTCACTGAGTCACACACGTCAGATTATTCAACAAGGTCACTGAGACACACGCATGTCAGATTAATCAACAAGTTCACTGAGACAAACGCATGTCAGATTAATCAACAAGTTCACTGAGTCACACTCGTGTCAGATTAATCAACAAGTTCACTGAGTCACACTGTGAACTTGTTGATTAATCTGACACGGTGAACTTGTTGATTAATCTGACACGCGTGTGTCTCAGTGAACTTGTTGATTAATCTGACACGCGTGTGTCTCAGTGAACTTGTTGATTAATCTGACACGCGTGTGACTCAAGTCACACGCATGTCAGATTAATCAACAAGTTCACAGTCACATGCATGTCAGATTAATCAACAAGTTCACAGTCACACACATGTCAGATTAATCAACAAGATCATAAGGACAAATTATATGAAGTATATTCTATACACAAGAACTTTATCCAGAACTATTAAATGAATGTTAACTCTCTCTCTTTAATTATCTACATATATGTACAACTTTCCCATTTTTTTCAATAACTTCAGATTTGGAGAGCACAATTATCCATATTTATATTTTTTTAGATTTTCTATATTTTAACAAGTAACAACCAACTTATTTACACAGATGACAGACTAATGTACATACAGTTATAGCAATATACAATGTACTTGACTATAGTTACCATGACAAAGACCTCAATGCTACCCAGTGTTAATTATTTTTGCCTCAATTTAACACCAGATATAAGTAACTTTAACAGGGTGCTGGTTGATATGCATAAAAAATCTCAAGAGACAACTGAATTAAATAACACGTAAAATATGAACATAATAATAATTAACATCATCTCATATTGTTGCTTATACGTCTGTTCTGAGCCCCCAACATATTCAGTACAGAATAAATTGTTGCTCTGTGACTACAAACTGATGTGTATATAACAACTAACAATCAGGAACATCTAGCAAGTATATATATATATATATATAATACATATGAGACTAAAGTATATGTATTCAGATAAATGGATCATAACAACAACCAAGTCAGAGTCAAGTCCATCATATCTTAAAACTGATGAAAAATTATGATGTTTGTTAAAAAGTAAAAACATTTAAAAATCCATAAGCACTTAGAAGAAAATATCATATGATTTGTATCAGGCAAGAACATCTAATTCTAAACAACATGGGTAATTCTGTACCATTTTTCACAATGCAAGTCATTATATTAATTAATAAACACAAAGTTCAAATTCACAAGTTATATATGTAAAACAACAACAACAACAAAAAAAAACAGCAGATAAGTTTCACAAATGTATATATTTCTGACATTATATGTACAGACTCCAGAAGCAGCAACTATACACCTATTTACAAAAGGTACTTCCTCCCAGGAATGGGAAAAACTATTTCTAATAGTGGGCTCAGTGAACAGAGAACTTAATTGATCCTTTCAATATACGGAACCACACCTAATCTTAAACGCAACAATTAGAATGTAGATAACACTAACAACAGACATATTCAATGTTTAATAAACAACAGTTAGCTGCTCTGAACATGTCTTTTATCTACAGAAACAAAAAACAGAAAATTTCAAACACTATCATAAATACATAATGAAAACAGTAATTCTAACAAAAAGTACAAGGAGTGGCTACAATGAAATACAAATTTCTGACCAAACACATGAAAAGCAAGAATCATATTGAAGAAAATGAGACTAGTTGAGAGAATTGGAAACTGGATACCAGATATTCTTTGGTGTTTGTTTGATGGACTCCCAACAAAACAATGCATTCTAACCTCTATAAATAGGAACTATATATTCAATTAGCTATACTCATTATCAGCTTGATTTTAATTTTTGATTTAAGTTGGTAGCTTGCTCTGATCAGAAGTTACCCGAATCTTAAAAAAGGGTAAAACTTGAGAAACCACTAGGTCTTATCTGTATGAATGCATTCAGAAGCACACGAAGACTCACAAACGTTTTCTTATTATGTGACACTACAGTTACAAAAATGTGCCATTGCTATAATCAAAATTACTTTTACCTTATCACATTTTGAAATAGCCCCAGGGCACATACTGATGGTTGTCTGATCACAAATCTAGATCTTAAAAGTACTACCATTATAGCCTCATGCTTACTCGTGGATTCAGCTCGTTTATATTGCTCCAGTATTTAGCTATATGGACAGAGTAAATACAAAATATATAAAAACACAATGATAACAATTTTAATAAAAGATTTTTCACTTAAACAATAGAACCTCAGTTGGAAAAAAATCATCTGACTCTTTGAGAGATAAACCACCTGCCAAAAGTAGGCTTAAACTACTGTACATTTGATTTTAATCTATTAATTGCTCAAATACGTACTATTAATTTATCCTTCAAAAAAGTAATAGTTACACCTCTCATACAAAAATGTCATCATCATACTTGTTACCACAAGTGCTGTTATAACTTCTACTTTTCTTGGTTGAAAAGGAAGTAAAATATACAGTACTTTCCAAAAGTTAGTTATTTATGCGGAATTGGTAAACGACAATTTTAACTAGCTTCCATTTCTGTTGAATATCAGAAGAATTAAGATAAAAGAATATTGTAAATTATATATCAACTAACTCAAACCAGTACTCCATCAGATAAACAAGTTAAAAGTGTCTTTTGACTGTTGCAAGACTCGGAGGAATAAACATTTTTTGTATATTATGTATTTACAAAATAAATAAACATACATACATACATTAATACCTAACAACTTGACAACATCTTGTAACTAACTTGTTTATTCTGAACTTGTGCAGATTTGTTTTTCTTTTGACTTTCCAAACCCATGTTTCCTCAGAAGCAGTCTTAATGTTGACTGTGAAATGTAATTAACCTGAGGAAAGTTGACCTGATCCCACAGCACATAAGACTGGATCTGTTTCATCGTTGCATTAGAATTCTGTTGTTTAAATTTTACTATCAGCTGTTCTTGTTCCGGAGTCAACATTTTAAACCTCCCCCCTGACGGTATTCTTGGCTTTTGTTTTAAATCTCCATGTCTGAAGTAATAAAATACTACTGATTTGACCTCTTCAACAGTCCAGTTCAGGTCAGCAGCAACCTTTTCAGGATCCATTCCTTTGACAATTAGAGATCGATTAACCTTTGAATATATTTCAGGAGAAGATTCATCGTAATGTGGCAATGTTAAATGTTTTCTTCTCGCTTCCAATCTGTATTGCTGAAGCCAGTATGCTATTTTCCTGAAGCCACCTAAGAAATAAATAAATCACCTCAAGGTCTGGAACTTTCTTTTTAGAAGTTTTACACACACTTCTGAAACACTTAAGAAAATAATAAACAATCTGCATTAAACTATGTATAAGCTAAACATAATTACACAGCTTCATACACGTGTTTGAAACATCCACGTATATTCACAGAACATGCAATTTTCAAACAAAGAAACTATAATGTTTGAGTTTGATTTAATTTCATTATCCAATGGTGTAGCTTCGTATAAAACACATAGTTATGAAACACAATTAAGTAATTTCTAAGTTTTTGCTTGGAAAAAAGAAAATATATATATATATATAAAATATTTATTAAAAAAGAACCACTAATTGACTTGTATTCAGAAAACTAGAATAAAAATAATTCAACTACAGTCATAAATCACAATATTTTAATTGTAACAAAATCAACAATTAAAATGACAAGTGTACATGATTCTCTATGTATAACAGTTGTTTATTTTTTATGAGCATGGTCAATGTTTGTGATTAATATAACACCTGTGATGTTATAAAGTTTAATATTTGGTAATAAAAATGATAAATACATCAATTCTAGTTCCAAAGTAACACTCATATTTGTGCTTGTTCAAGTACCAAGCATTATCTTCCATCAATTCCTCAGTAATTGTGGTTTCCAAGCATCATCCTCCTCCTTTACGATAATTGTGGTTTTTGAGCATTAATCCATAACCATCATTTCAATAATCATGACCTTCATTATTTTACCATCATCTTTACAGTGACCATGGTTTCAATCATATTTTACCCCTCCATAATAACCATGGTTTCAAATTTATTTTCTCATCTTCCTCATAATAACCATTGTTTCCAAGCATTAGTTTATAATCATGGTCTTCAGCCATTATTTTACCATCCTCCTTACAGTAACCATGGACTCTAAGCACTATTTTAACATCTTCCTTACAATATCCATTGTTTCCAAGCATTAGTTTATAATCATGGTCTTCAGCCATTATTTTACCATCCTCCTTACAGTAACCATAGACTCTAAGCACTATTTTAACATCTTCCTTACAATATCCATTGTTTCCAAGCATTAGTTTATAATCATGGTCTTCAGCCATTATTTTACCATCCTCCTTACAGTAACCATGGAGTCTAAGCACTATTTTAACATCTTCCTTACAATATCCATTGTTTCCAAGCATTAGTTTATAATCATGGTCTTCAGCCATTATTTTACCATCCTCCTTACAGTAACCATGGGCTCTAAGCACTATTTTAACATCTTCTTTACAATATCCATTGTTTCCAAGCATTATTTTATTGTCCTTCTTAAAGTGTCCATGGTTTTTAAACACTACTTTATTTTCTCCTTATAATACCATGGTTACCAAGCATTATTTCATCTTCCTCTATACAAAATATGTGGTTTATAAGCATTATATTTCATCTTTGTGACAGTACCATGATTTCCAAACATTTTATCATCCTTTTTATAATAACTGTGTTTTTCATGCATTCAACTAGCTTCCATTTCTAGAACAAAGGTTGTTTCCATGGAGTGCAAAGTAATGTCACTCCTACCTTTTAAGTGTATATTGATAAAAACATCATTCTTTACAGAAAGCTTAATACAAGCACAATTCAACGTTCCTCTTCCTGTCCTGAAAATAAGAAATATGTTAATAACCTTCAGGAATTTGTAAAGTTACCAGTAAATGGAAACATACAAACTTATCCAAATAACCTTACATTGCAAGCCTTGTATGGAGCTATGCTTCTAACTTCCGGGTTTAAGATCTTCAAAACCAACATATGTATGATGCCATCATTAACAAAAAAAAAAAGAAAAAACTGTTGAAAAGTAACTTCTACAACATTTGATTAACTTTGGAAAACTAATTGTAATGTATGCAAAAGACAGAATTACTAAATGTTAACCATTAATTGCTCATTTAAATAATTTCTTAGGATACCACTAGAAGGTTGTGTTAAAATATGTGTACTAATATACCATGTGCTCATAATTAAACGTAGAATTAAATAAACAGGACCCCCCCACCTTTCCATCTGTGGTTACACAAACTAGTCAGTCTTCATAATAACACATATTTTGTGGGATCATCTAAAAAAAGCAGTAACAAAGTGCTCCAAACAACCCGATTATTTTCATTCTTGTGGAACTGTCTGTTAAAAGTAGCACCATACAACTAAAATGGCCCATGTCTCCATATTTTATTCATTTTACCAAATATCTCAGCTATTAGCTTATTTTCAGAAAATTGCAGCATACATAATAAAGAAACACATATAACTACATGTATACTACAACATTCTGAAGATGGAAAGCAGTTGAATGTTCGGGGGGGGGGTATCGAGATGTAGGCTTTGTTTCAATTTAAGTTCCATACTACAGTCACCCTTTTGGATTTTTTAAAAAAATAATAGAAATGGCTATTCGATTCATTGAGGCCATCTCTCACTTACAAATGTAAGAAGCCAAGACATCAAGTCCATGTTAAGTATAGCCTTTAAATTCATATACCTATAAAACAAAGTTTTCAAATACATAATATTGCCCCTCATAATCAAATTTGCATTTCCAACCTTTATTTTGCCTTTCAAACATAGCACCTATACTCCAAATGAAGCCCTACCAGTCTTATACCACGGTGCAACTTAAGTTCAAAATGCTAAACATTAATCTTTTTTATTCTATTTTATTGGTTTATAGTTTTTTCAAGTTTTAATATTTTTTTATGTTTCTACCTTGGTCTTGAGTTATTACATTTTCTCTTTTCATAAATACATAATTCTTATCATCTTCATCATACTCTTCCATATTTCATAACCTTGAGCTAGATACATAGCCTTGACATTTCTGTTGCTTAATGACACACACCCTCTTCTATCAGAATTGGTCAGCTTTCAAGGCCAGCTCAAAATATACCTTTTCTACTAACATGATATGTAATCTCTTTTTCATATTTATTATACCACACTCTTCAACTTTTACCCTTTTTGTTTCTGAAGAACAGTCAGCTATATGAAAGTGTTAGTCTACAGAACTTTTGAAACTTACTATCTCAAAAGAGAAAATTCTCTCTCTATACAAAGCTTTAGTCAGGCATCACTTGGAATGGTGTGTACAAGTTTTTGGTCTCCTTATCTAAAAAAGGATACTGACTTATTGGAAAGGGTTCAGAGGAGGACTACTGAAATGATTCTGGGAGAAGAAAGGTTATCTTATATAGAGATAAGTTAAGATTTTTTAAATTACTTTCTTATGTGAAAATTATCAAGTGATATTATTGAAGGTTATAAGATTATCCATGTGATCAATAGAAAAAAAAAGCCTCTGATTTCTTTGTGTTGTAATCCAAAGACACCAGGATGAGAATGCACAAACTTAAGATTTTGAAAAGACTGGCTGGGTTCCAGTTTCATTTTTCTAACAGAGTGATTGACTTATGGAACAAGTTGCCATCGGCATTGGTGGAGATCAGCACCTTATAGGAGTTTAATCGATGACTTCTTGAAAAGTAAAAGGGTGGTTTAATTTTTTTACTTTTCCCAAGGGTGGGTATGCAAGGACACCCTTAAAGAACCAAGGGGGTGTTTTGTTGTCCATAGATTATGTTAGGTAAAGAACAAAAGGTAAATGCATAATGAATAACAAGAATAATTCAAAGCACAGTTTAATTTCTAATCACTAAACTCTCAAGAGTATTATTTATGGGGGTCAGTTGTAAATGAAATCTCACACTTTGACCCATGTGTTTTGTTAGGATGAATTTTAGTGGTTGTGTGTTAGTAAACTGGACTAATTTTTAGTGTTTGATAAATTTATGTACGTGACAGATTATTTTTAGTTTAGAATAATTTCTTTATTGAATGATCTCAATCAGCTGAACAGCTTTTTGCTACTTAGTCTTATGTTCATAACTGTGCTTTGTCTTCTTAGACCACTAAATGTGACAGGCTTCAGAAGAAACATCCAATCTCCTGTTTGTTTACCAGTGTAGCTGAAATGAAATTACATCTGTTGTCCCGTTTCTTTATTTTCCATATACCATCTTCGTACAATTTCAGACACTAATTATTCATGGCTTGAAAATGTTAATTGGACATCCTCTTGACCTTTCTTAGTGTTAATTAAAACTTAAAAGTACCAGTGTTAAAAAAAATAATCTTAAGGCAAAGTGAAAAAATGGTTAGTCTCTTTTTTTTTTTTTCAATGACCACTTTGAAAGTTTCCACCCTTTTTTCATGATTGTTGCATTTTTTCAAAAGGTCCATATCAAACAGAAGTCTTCTTAGTTTAATTTTTTCATCAAAACAAAAGAGAATTTATGAGAAATAAAGAAAAAGGGCAAAATGAATCAACCGTGTTCATCTCATTTTTTATTCAGAAGTCTCCTTTGTACGATTGAAAAATGATAACTACAAAAAGTGAGGGAAGGCAGCTGGAGAAAAGGAAGTGAGTGAGGATGCTAAATATGTACATTTTTTAACTTGGCCTAATATACTTTGTTTTTTGAGTATTTTTAAATGTTTTATTTTTTAGTAACATATTCAACTTCGTAACTTTAAAGTAGAAAATATATTAAAAAAATCTTGTAAAATGCTTTCAATGTTGATAAAAAGAAAATTTACATTTCATATAATTTTAATTATGATCTTATATATTACCATACAAGTAGAATCTATGAAACAAAAACTTGTAAAATGTTTTCAATATTGATAAAAATAAAGGCTAACATTTCATATAATTCTAATTACAACCTTGTATGTTAACATACAATTAATTTTTTAATGTTTTAATCTTTAAAGCATGTGTAGTTCATGGTGCAGTGTTAAGTATGCATACACTACAGATAATCCTTGTAAATAAAATGCCTCACAATCACATTCACTATCCAAATGCTGAGAATGTTTAAAATTGTGAACATTTGTAGGTGTACTACTCAATCATGTACATTTCTTAAACCTTGAAAAATTGCTCAGATGAATAATACACACATGATGTAGGCAATCAAACTCTAGCCTAATTCTTTACTTTCTTGTACTTCTGCAGAACACTTCTCCACCCCACTTCAAAAATGTTTTACTCTCTATCCCTCTCCAGCAGTAGGCAGTAGCATAGGACAATATAAGGATATTTGGACTTGGCCCAGTCTTTAAGCAATGAGGCACAGATAGGTATACAAGATGTCATAGTTAAAATCTCAAGGTTTAATAACCAGTTACTATAACTCTTTTTATTTTATTTTATTATTACTCGTGTAACTTACTGTTACTATTCACTTTAATGCCTTCATCACATTCAATTTTGTTAATACATTTTGATAATGAAAATGTGCAGAGATGCACTTCTTACAGTTTATCAAGTTTAGCACATTAAAAATGAAAATAATGAATTGTTAAAACTAAGATTTAAATATATACTTTTAAACTCTTTTTAAGTTACAATAATTTAATATGTAAAACATTTCAACACTAACTAGTTTAAGTAGTTATTCCTCAATCAGTCACTTAACAC